TATAATATATCTCTACTATATAGATATCTAGAATATATAGTTATAATAGGAGTTCTAAAAGGGTAATTTTAATATAGCTTATATATTTATAAACTTAATATTTATTAATAGTTTTATAAAGAACCTTTCTAGAAGTAAGTTTAAATATTTTTATATACTATTAAACCTAATAGATATATATATACTTATTATAAAGGATATAAAGTAGGAATAATAAGAAATAAAGTAGTATAATAACTAGAAAATCTATATTTAGCTCTATAATTAAGAAGTTTAATTTAGCTTATAAAAGCCTAAAAATAAGTCTAAAAAGCTTAAAAGTAAATATTATTTTAAACTAAAGCCTTAAATATATATAAAAACCCCTTAAACTTAATAATAAAACTTAACTTTAATAAGTATAAGAGGTAATAATAAATATATCTAACTAGCTCTATTAGTATTAAGCTAAAATAGCTATAAAGAGTTTACTAACTATAATAAAACTAAGGGGGACTCCTTATCTATTACTAAATAGAGAGAAAATAGTAAGTATAATATTAAAAATAGTAAATATAATAAGAGGGGTAATAAATATAATAAATATAATAAAAGCTAGAGGAGGAGTAAGTATAGAGATAGGAGTAGCTAGAGGTATAAAAGTAGATATAATAGGGGTAGGGGTTTTAGTAATATAACTCTAAGTAAAGGTAAGAGTATACTAAATATTAGCTCCTTAGTAATTAAAATCCTATATTTAAAGTTAGTAATAGATTAAAAAAAGTTTCTAAAACTTAAAAAATACCTCTAAAATTAAGAGATATTTCTAAAAAAGTATTATATTTATAGCTTAGTTAGTAAAGTTAAATTTTATAACCTCTTAGAAGTAATAAGTGAAAAATACTATAATAGGTATTAAAAGAATATAGAGGTAGTTATAAGAGGTAGAAGTATATAATATATACTAATTCTTCTTATAGTACTTTATACTAGAGGTATTAGTAACTATAAGTATAAGGTTATAATAATAACTTTAGGTTTTACTTATAAGAGTAAACCTAAAATACTCCTTATAAAAGACCTTATAGTAGAAAGGTCTTTAAGGAGCTATTTCTAAATAATTAATATAATACTTCTAATAACTAAAACGCTTTAAATAGTATATATATAAAGTATTATACTTACTCTTATCCTTAACCTCCTTAATAGTAAAATAGAGGGGATAAGGGGGGGGGGGGGGATATAAGGGGGCTAAAAGGTATAATAGGCTTCTTATTATTATTATTATTATTAAAGATAGAGGGGAGGCTATTAGTAATAGCAATAATAGTATTAGTAATAGCTTTTTTACGCTTATATACCTTATATATATAAGTAGTAGCTTTTTTCTTAAAGATAAGTATTATAAATTCTATCTATTAAATAGTTAGTAAAAGTTCTAATAATTATATTAAGTAATCTAATAATTATTTTAATAATATATAAGTATTATAATAGGTAATTTAAGATTTTTAAAAACTTACTTTTATAAACTATAAGTAATCTAAAGAAGAAAAATTTAATTATAAGAGGGCGTAAGAGGTTTTATTTACTTTTATTACTTATACCTAATAGCTTATACTAACTATATTAAGAAATTTTATTAATTCTAAGTAAATTTATAACCTACCTTAATAACTAAGTAACCTTATTAAGTACTCTTATATTCTATAAATATAACTATAAATACTAATTTTATTTATCTATTTACTTTATTACTTTAAAAACTATTTTTATATATTTTATATAATAAATTTAGATAGGTTTTAGGTATATAGTAGTAAAGAATAGGTTTTTTTAGCTATCTATAATATCTAAGGGGGTATATTATAATACCTTTAATCTAAGCTATAGCTTTACTACTTATCACGTAATATATAGTATTATATAAGCTATATATATAGATATTAGTTTATAATATAGACTACCCTTCTAAATAGTTACTCTTATAATACACCTTTATTCCTAATAACCTATACGCCTATAACTTATAAGATATTTCTAATTCTTTATAAAAATATAATTTAAATTAAAAATAATAATCTATTTATTTTTATTTTTAATACTTCTTATATTCTATAAGTAGTAAGTTTATATAATTTATATAACTTACTCCTCAATAAGTATATATTAAAGCTTTCCTATAAGGCTTATAATGTATTTTTAAATACCTTACTATATATATTAAATAAGCTATTATATCTATTAAATAATCTTTTTAAATAACTAAATATCTATATATAAAAAGTTAATATTCTACTTTTTTCTATATATAATCCTCTCTATATAATTATTTATTAGCTGTTTTACTATAAGCTTCTTATATAGCTTAACGCTATATAAGGCAGGTGAAACACTAAATAGGTAGGTAGTAAGCAAAACCTACTAGTTCCACCCCCTAGATACACACCTATAGCACCTGCAACCTTTCTAATGCGGCGGATGTAGCAGCGGACTGAACTGATGCGGGTGATTGAGGTTGACGTCTCTGGCTAGACCTTAGCAATCAAGTGAAGGCGCACAGGATGCCCTCACCTCATACTGGAAGCACAACCTCCTTCTCGAGCGCAGGACCGTCGAGGCATCCGCAGCAGCAGCAGCATCTGTACCAGAAACAGCACAGACTTTCCAGGTCTTTTCCAACGTCAACGAGTCATCTGGCCCCTCGCTACCCGACCCCGACCGGCACACGCTCCGACCGACAGCAAAGTCCGGTCTCATCTTCGCTTGGTTCTCGTCTCGACACTGGCACGTCCTTTCCGCGACGAACTCCGTCACCTCTTCCCAGGACCTCGTCGCTTCTTCCACCCCCGCAACTTGCCCCTTCGCAGCCCCTGACGGCTCAGTTCGATGCCTTAAACAACAACGCTGCCGCCGACTCCGACTCCTTTTTCCTGCGACCGACGACCTCTCATTCGCGATCAAGTAGCGCCGGCTTGTCAACCGAGGGCTTCAAGAATTTGAATCGCTGGTCTACCTCGACGTCATCGAGTCGAGCATCTGGCCTGAACCATCGCGCTTCCAACTTATGTGCGCGCCGCATGAGTGTGGATGCGGCTGCATTTATCAATTCGTCGCCTCAAAGACCCCTTAGAACCAGACGGCGGTCGAATTCTAGTGAAGCTTCTCAACCGGTCAGCAGTGCCAGCAAGTTGCGTGGCTACTCACCTCCTGGATCATCTCGAGCTGAAGGCCTGTCTACCGTGTTTGCGCCTTACCCATTAGATTCATCCCTCTCAACTGAGCCGGCAGGTGCAGTGAACGGCCCAAGTGTACCGTCGGGCGCACCCAGAGCGCCCAGAAGCGGCCATATTGCGGAACAAAATCGACCCTGGGATGCATTCTCTAGCCCAGACCGGAGAGGATCAGCGGAACCAGGTTCACAGCAGCCGCTTCGTGCAATGATGCCAGCCGATCGCAATGGAGGGGCCTACGATACAAGGGGCCATTCCCGTAACCGTTCCCAAGCGGCCAAGGGGAGTACGGACACCACTGCATCGTCAAAAGGTCGAGAAAGAGGCAACAAACCGCCGTCTCAAAAAGCTATGCTTTCCCGAGCCCTACAGAAAGCAAACACTGCAGTTCAGTTAGACAATGCGCAGAATTTCGAAGGTGCACGCCAAGCTTATGCCGAAGCATGCGAACTACTGCACCAAGTATTGGCGAGAACCTCCACGGAGGAAGACAAGAGAAAGCTTGAGGCGATTGTGAGTATCTTGACTTGGAATGGCGTGACAGACCGGAGCTAAATTAGGTCAGCGCCGCACGTATACCAGTCGAATCGAGGAGCTGGATCAGATGGCCCCTATCCAGGCAACGGATGGAAAGGCTCTACCTGCTAGACCCGAGAGCTTAGGTCTGCGACTCAACCCGACCCTCCAGTTCAACGACGACGACGATGTGGACTACTTGGAGGAACCAGGCGGTCTCGAAACAGCGGCCCTCGCCAGGATACTCAAGGATGGAGGTCGTTATTCACCTGGCTATGCGGGGCCTGGGTTGCCTATATCACGAATGCAGGGCTTGGCTGAACCCGCAAGGAGCGGCTTATCGAGGACACCAGAGCAATATACGCTGCAGTCTTCCTTCTCTCGCTCGCCGCTTCGAGAACGAAACTCGGATGAACATCTTATCTTCCAAATACCCGCAGAAGATGCTACCATACCACCGCCACTCTCACCTCGCCGACCAGCTTCTCCGGAGTTAGATGGGCGGGGTTCTCCTGATGGACCCGTCAGGTCGGATTTCTCCCTTCCCGCAACGCGAACTGGACAAGCCCCGAAACACGCGCGAGATTCGAGCCGTGAATCCAACTCCTGGTTGGATCCGATTGACGAGTCTGGCGGCTCAACTTCGTCTGTCCACTCCCGATCATCTTCTATGAATGTGCGGCGAAAGCACATACGCGCTCCTAGTGGCGCTACCGAGGCTGAGTTCGATGCCGCATTAGATGCGGCGGTCGAAGCAGCGTACGACGACGGTTATGAGCCGATGGATCTATCTGACACCGAAGCATATGCGTCAGATGACCAGGTCGTAGCGAAGGCACTGCGTAAGGTTGAGTTGGCCAAAGAACGCGTTCGTCAGACAGAAAGAGAAGTCTTCGAGCAAGAAAGCGAAAGAGAGCGAAGAGTGCAAGGGCAGCAAAAACCTGACGGGGATCTGGTACATGAAGATTTTTACGACGACGGATCATCGGACGAGGAGGAACGCATCTTGGAGGAAATGACTCGAGGATATTCTATTGACGACTTTTCCTTCAATCAAGCATCTCGATCATCCGCAGCTAGGCACTCCGGCTCCAGTGATGCCCAGCAAACTTGGCAGATGCCTGGGACAAACGATACAAACGGTGACGATGTCTCCTCGTCACCGACGGATGCCTTTCCCTCTTCGAACTTCCCTAGGGCCGGAAGCCCAGCTGCACCGCCTCCGGTGCAGTCTCTACCCGAGTTACCCTCCAAAACGTCTTTCTCAGGACCAGTGCCTGGGCCCGGCCAGACCGTGAGGAGTAGGCGAATGTCAGGGCAAAATCCGAAGCAGCTCAAGATTGAGACGAGCAAACTTTCGAAATACGGAGACCCCGGGAGACGTTACAGCGTTGCCCAATCAATTGACAATGATCAAGGAGTTGACTTCGATCCTCGAGACTCCATTATTCCCAACGACTTTAATGGAGGCACGCGCAGACCATATTCCCCTCCTGAGGGGATCAGCCCAACACAACCGGTGCCCCCAACTCCTCCACCCGGGCATCGGAGTCGAGACAGTGAAGACTTCAATAGTCATTCGGGCTCACCATCCTTCCGGCCTACACTAAGAAAGAACTTCTCTTCCTCAAGTTTGAGGAGCATGAAGAATCGAAACATGTCACTGTCGAATTTGGAGGACGCTTCGGACATGTCACCGGGTACACCTATGAGCAATGCCTTTGGCATCAGTGGCAGGCATCCGGCCATGCCTGCCCTGCCGACCCCTTTGGCAGCAGCCTTCAGAGACAAGTTTACCTCAGGCTCTGCTGGTGGCTTGTACCTATTCGACGATACTTTGCACTCCCCGCAAAGTCCAGGCTCGCCAAATTCGCTTCAGGTGGATGCACCAGCACCATTGGAACCGTGCCCGACAGATTACATGCTGCGGCCCTTCTGGCTAATGCGCTGCTTGTATCAAACACTCGCCCATCCCCGAGGAGGTTATTTAAGCAACAAGCTATTTGTTCCGCGGGATGTGTGGAAGGTGAAGGGTGTAAAAATCCGCAACTTGGAGGATAAAGTGGCGACGTGCGACTATCTCACGGCCGCTCTTCTCAAGCTAGCCAGAGTAGACACTTGCGATGCTGATGCCGTACTTGAGGAGATGCAGGCTTTAGAGGTCATTCTGGAACAGGTTCAGGCCAGCTTGACCAGAAAGCTGGGGACAGAAGTCGGGGTGCAAAGCTCCAACGTGATTTTCAGGGATGCATCGAACTCTGTCGAAATTGAAGCGGCAATCAACGTACCGCGTTCAGCGAGCGTGTCGGGCAAATCGTCCTCATTCTCGTGGCGCAGATTAAGGTCCAAGGGGTCTGCGGCAGGGTTGAATAGCTCCTACAACGCAAAGGGTACCGGGCCCGATAGCGGCAAGGAGTCTCCTATACTGGAAACCCTGCCAATGACAGAGAATCCAACTAGCCGTCCGACGAAAAGAGATCCAACCAGTGCCCAGTTTACTGGGCCAAATTCCAACTACATGGGATCACTCGCACGGCTCTTCGATGCCGCCCAGATGATTGGTAAGGCCTCTCAGATGCGTACCTGCTTAATCGCAGATATGTGTTGTTACGGTTTAACTAACAGACTTAGATCAAATCGCTCGTCAAGTCGAGGATCCGGGACTCAGACATGCGGACAAGACACAAGTTGGCCTGGAGCTTTGTACCCGACACGCCGCGGAATTCTTCGGGTTTTTCATATGCCGGTTTGTACTGTCGGACCTCAGCATATTGCTGGACAAGTTTATCAAAAGAGGGAGCGAATGGGTCCTCGCATGAGGCGTTGAAATGTGAGTTGCAATCTGAATTATCATATGGGAAAGTAAGGGTGGCATACTTTGAGCGTTTGCTGGAGCGTTTGTAAGAGATACCTTATGGTGACCAATGTCACACTGCAATTTGTAAGGCGACGTCAATAACAAGAGGAGGCAAGCGTGGACACTGGGAGGGGTATACCCTCTCTCACTCGAGCGATACTTGAAATGATGGTAATGAACACATCGGCTCAATCATTATCCAAAGATGTCGTGGCGTGCGCAGAGATACCGTCCAAGGCAGCTACGAAAAACACTGCACGTACTAACAGTAAAGAAATGTAATCATGTATCAAGAAATTCTAGCAGTGTATGTACGTCGTCCGGCAGTATATTCCATACAAACCCACCTCCGTACTAGTGTCACCCAACTTGGGAGTCGAGCCTCTGCCGAAAGACCAATCGGGGCCAGTTCCACACCGAGACCCACTCAAGCTTCAAGCATACTGTACCACCTAGGTAGTCGGGGTTTTGATTTCTGCGCCAGAACGGGCACGGGTAACAGGCTCGGCATCGCATTCGGCTGCTTCACAGAACCTACACAACACAACTGGAATTGCGCAATCTGAGCCTCCAGTCTGAATCTACTCAATGCCGACAAGAAGAACTTGATGCGAGGATCCCGGGCGACAAGCGTGCGCTCCATGCGGGACCGTTTGGTCAGTTTTCCACGCCAGCTGCGACAGCCTTGGTCTTCAATCTCAACCTTCAGCTTGACCCCGCCGCTTCAGTCTCGCGGCTGCACTCTGGCCCAGACGACGCTGACGACAACGCAAGCTCAATGGTCGCGTAGTCTCACTTCATCATGGAACCCGATTCGCAGCCAGCCTTTTCATTGTGCCACCGCCCACCTCGCCAAGCCTGCGCCGCCATCTCGTGCCGCACAGGCTTTAGAAGAACGAATTCTCTCTATCCCAATCGAGCGGTACCGCAACTTCTGCATTGTGGCCCATATCGACCATGGGAAGAGTACCCTTAGTGACCGTTTACTCGAGATCACAGGCACCATCTCTGCCAGTGATGCTAATAAGCAGATATTGGTGAGGCCGACAGTGCAGCTGCGCTGTTCTTACAGCTTAAAAGAGTATCGCTGACCGAAATTCTTTTCACTGGCCAGGATAAACTCGATGTGGAACGTGAGCGAGGGATCACCGTCAAGGCCCAGACTTGTACCATGATATACAACCACAAAGGAGAGGATTATCTGCTACATCTCGTTGATACACCTGGGCATGTGGACTTTCGCGCCGAGGTGACGCGATCCTACGCCAGTTGTGGTGGTGCTCTGCTGCTTGTTGATGCAAGCCAAGGCATCCAGGCACAAACAGTATCCAATTTCCATCTGGCTTTCGCGCAGGATCTCGCCTTGATTCCCGTCGTCAACAAAATCGATATGCCGTCCGCCGACGTTTCCAGAGTTCTCGATCAGATGCATACTTCATTCGAATTAGACCCTTCTTCGGCGGTTATGGTGTCGGCGAAGACTGGCAAGAATGTGTCAAATATTTTACCTGCCGTTGTGGAACAGATACCGCATCCAGTGGGCGATATTTCAAAACCACTTCGCATGCTGCTTGTGGATTCTTGGTACGACAATTTCAGGGGCGTCATACTTTTGGTTCGTGTATTCGATGGCCAGGTTAAAGCTGGCGACAACCTCATCTCCTTTGCCACCGGGCAAAAATACACTGTTGGCGAAGTCGGTATTCAGTATCCAAACGCCGTCCCGCAAAGTGTTCTCCGCGCCGGCCAAGTTGGCTACATACACTTCAACCCAGGTATGAAGCGTATCCAGGACGCCAAATTGGGTGATACTTTCACCACAACCGGGTCAGAGGCTGTTGTCCAGCCATATCCTGGCTTTGAAGAGCCGAAACCAATGGTCTTCGTGGCTGCGTTTCCCACTGATCAGAGCGACTATACTCGTCTCGCCGACAGCATCAGTCAATTAGTGCTCAATGACAGGAGTGTAACGTTGCAGAAAGACTATTCTGAGGCTCTCGGTGCGGGCTGGCGCTTGGGGTTCCTTGGTAGCTTACATTGCTCTGTCTTCCAGGATCGTTTGAAGCAAGAGCATGGCGCTAGCATCATTATTACAGACCCGACTGTTCCAACCAAAGTCGGGTGGGCCGACGGGTCTGAGACGATATATCAGAATCCGGCGGAGTTCCCCAGTCAAGACGAGCACCGAATGCGCGGTGCGACAGCATACGAACCGTAAGCATCCTCATTGGCTCTTCTGCCTGCCCGCCCATATGCCTCTGACAAAGCTACGTAGGTTTGTGACTGCCACGATCACTCTTCCCGAAGAGTACCTCGGTCGTGTCATAGAATTGTGCGAAAGTCAGCGTGGCGAGCAAAAAAGCCTTGAGTTTTTTCACACGACGCAGGTTATCCTGAAGTATGAAATCCCTGCAGCCCAGCTTGTCGACGACTTGTTTGGCAAGCTTAAGGGCGTCACGTATGTTGTCTCGAATACCCTAATGATGGAGGTCAAAAGCTGACAAACGGAATAGGAAAGGCTATGCTAGCTTGGACTATGAAGAGGCTGGATGGAGGGCGAGTCAGCTCACCAAATTGCAGCTTCTGGTCAACAAACAGCCAGTGGATGCTATCTGCCGGGTGATTCATACCTCTCAGGCTGAGCGTCTTGGTCGGCAGTGGGTCACCAAGTTCAAAGAACACGTCGACCGCCAAATGTTTGGTAAGTCCAATCGGTCCACCATAGCGGTGGATGAAATAGACTGACCTGTGACTTTCAAAGAGGTCGTAATTCAAGCTGTTGCCGGTAGGCGGATTGTCGCTCGCGAGACCATCAAGCCATTCCGGAAGGACGTGCTTGCGAAACTACACGCCAGCGATATCACTCGTCGGAAGAAACTGTTAGAGAAGCAGAAAGCGGGACGCAAGCGCCTTCGCGCAGTTGGCAATGTCATAATTGACCAGTCCGCTTTCCAGAGTTTTCTTGCCAGGTGATTGAGTCTTGCGTCTCTACAGGCTTTGGTGTTCTCTCTGCGGCACCCGAGGACAATCGCCGCGGATCAATTGCGCTGCTGATGTATGATTATGTAATTTATAAAAGAACACCCGAATTCACCAACAAACCATGCATCCATTTATTGGCCTGATCTTTGCATAGGGATTGTCGATTGCGATACGACCTTTCGATAGCAGTTTTGCCTCGGACTCACGCCATTGTAGTTGCTGAGGCACAGTCTGGAGCAACCCTGAACTTGGCACACCGAGTCTCAGCTACTCTGAATGTCTGCAATAGAGGTCTCCAGAACCGGCAAGCCAGAGCCGATGACGACAGGGTCTGTCCAGGATTTACCTAGACCGCCACTGATAGTTGACTGAAGCTGTCGGAGCCCAGGGTTGCTATCAGGTTCATCGCCTTTGTAAAGCTCGAATGCTCGGTAGTCGCCATTGAAGAACCAGTGCCCCGTCACCCCGAGTCGCAAGAAACCCGAGTGCGAAACCACAAAAACCAGCTTCTCCTTTCGCTCATAGATGCTGTTGATGGATGATCGAGCTCTTCCGAGAATAGCCTCCTTGGTATAGGAATAGTGGGCCCCAGCAGGAGAAGTCTTGTCTGGGTAGACGGGGTCGACAGAAGAGAAGTCAACGCCAGGGAATTCCACACTCAATTCAGCGATAGAGCTTCCTGTATCACACGGCTTTGCCGAGTTTTCTAGTGATGATTAGATATATTACCTGCAAGACCTTACTGAGCAGGCTTTATTTTCAAGTGCGATTACACCTACCTTGCCATCGAGCATCAGCTTGAATTGGCGCCCCATTCTTGATCAACCAATCGAGCGAGAGGAGGGCTGTCTGGATAGTCCGCCTCATTGGACTGACAATGATGATGGCATCCGTCTCGTTGCCAAATTTCTGAGAAAGATTCTGACGCAGCTCCTTGCATTGTTCTACACCCAGTGATGAGAGCTCAGGGTCGTGGATCGAGTAGTTCTGTGCCATATGTTAGGACAAAGTAAGAGGAGCTTGTCAAGAGGACTACTCATCATCAACATTGTGCAAGGCCTGGGCATGACGAATGAGCACGACGGTGGGCGCCATACTAGCCAAATTATGTCAAACAAAGAAGTGCAAGCCACGCGCGACAAACACCCCGTATATAGTTGGTCTCGTCAGTTTGCAAGGTCAATTTCACGGTGATACTGGAGTGAGTTGGAACCGGGTCAGCAGTGGTCCAGTATTCCGGTGGCGACCAGTGCTACTCCTGAAAATGGGAACCTAACTCAGGCACCAAAGGTTCTTATGGAGTCTCAGTGCCTAGGTACGTACTTATCCGTACCTGTTACGCACGAGGACCCCTGTCACCTCCACTGGGCTGCAGGTCCGTGACCTAAGGTAGGAAGGCCGGCGCGTCCTGGAGCTCCAGCAATTACCTGCATCGTCATCTAGTTAGGATCGTTACACGACTCTCCAATCTTTCACGAGGCTCCTTCGAAGTTGCGCTCTTGACATTGACGCGCGGCTGTTAGTTACCTGTGCGGGCTCACTTCGAGCGCTTTTGAAGAGGCTATCGCTACCTGGCAAAGATGACCGATGTTGATAACCTATTTAAAGTAAGCCTGTCGCCCGAACTGCGCCTGGAGTTCACTTCTCAACTGACGGAAACAGAGCTCCGGCGGCGTTGGCAAAAGGAAGCTTGATGTTGTACGAGACCCAAGTAAGCAACCGCCCTACCAGATACTGATCTTCTCGTGGTCAGGACTGACACACGCCAGATGAAATATACAAGGCGGTCAAATTGAGCGCCAGCGAGTCTATAAGTCGGCATGCCCAAGTGGAAGGATCCGACGATGACGACATCGCCGCCGGACCTGCTCCCCCACCCGACGACGACGCGGACGACTACGGGCCCGAAATGCCCCCGGACGAGGATGACGAGGGCCGATTCTTCGGCGGAGGGATCACAAAAAAAGAATCCGAAATCCTGGACTACGTAGACGGCCGTGGCGAGAACTCGGCCACTTCTGAGAAGATCGACGCTGCTTGGGTCAGAAAAGCTGCCCTGAATTTCGAAAAGCGAATCACGAAGAACGCCGAGTTGCGCGCCAAGTTTGCCAACGAACCCCAAAAGTTCATCGAGAGCGAGGCAGATCTCGATGCCGCCATCAAGGATCTCTCCATCTTAGCAGAGCACCCCGACCTGTACCCTCAATTCGTCAAGTTGGGCTGTGTTGAGAGTCTTGCCGGGCTGCTGACACATGAGAACACTGACATCGCCATTGACGCTGTCGAAATTATCGGTGAGCTCACTGACGAAGACGTTTATGCGTCTGACGACGACTGGGATATGCTGGTGGATGCGCTGTTGAAGGCAGACCTGGTTAGCCTTCTCGTGTCAAACTTCTCTCGCCTTAACGAAAATGATGAGTCCGACCGCAGCGGGGTGTACCATGCACTTGGCGTCCTAGAGAATCTCCTGTCTAAGAAGACGAACGCGGAAACAGTTGGTCGGGACGAGACGTTGATCAGGTGGCTGTTGGAGAGGGCCCAGCGCAAGGAGTCCCCCGTATCCCAGAACAAACAGTACGCTACAGAGCTGTTGGATATCATCGCGCACACATCGACAATAACGCGCCGTCGGCTGGCAGAGCTGGACGCCGTCGATGTATTGCTGCAACTGGTATCGGCTTATCGCAAACGCGACCCAGAAAAAGGCGGCGAGGAGGAAGAGTACATGGAGAATCTCTTCAACGCATTAGTCTGCATTGTTGATGAGCCGGAAGGCAAGTTCAAATTCCTCGAAGCAGAAGGCATCGAACTGTGTTTGATTATGCTCAAGGAAGGTAAGATGAGCAAGCAACCGTCGATGCGACTTCTTGTGCATAGCGTCAGTGGAGATGTGAGCGGCGAGGTTTGCCGGAAGGTTGTTGAAGCCGGTGGCCTGAAGATTCTCTTCACCTTGTTCAAGAAGACTACACAGCAACGCATGGTTATGGAGAGTTTATTTGACATCTTCAGATCTCTCTTGCGGTTTCTTCCCGCCGACTCGGCCGAGAGGATCCGGACGCTGGCGAAGTTTGTCGAGAGGGACTACGAGAAGTTGGACCGACTCTACGACTGCAGGAGGACATACAAGTCGATGCTCGACGTTGCCGACCAGGAAATTCAAAAAGAGCGAAGCAGAATGATCGCGGACGATGCAGAACTCTCCGAAGGAAGATGGTTCCTGAAAAGGATCGACGAAGGCCTTTACAGTGTGTGGGCTATCGATGTCATCCTCGCATGGCTTGCCGCGGAGGATGCCGGTGCCAAGAGGCGGATACAAAAGCTGTTGGCTAAGGATGGTCATGACCTGGCGGCTGTGAGAGCTACATTGCAGGAGTATCGGGAAGATTTGGATCTGGAAAAGCCCCAGCACAAGGACTTGGCGGAGATGCTCACGACATTGATGGACTTTTTACAGTGAAGCAAATGAACTAGAGGTGTAATTATACAGCTATGGAGTGATGCGGTGCGTTTCTTTGGAATTCTGAAAACATCACTCTCCGAGCAGTTGCATAGCATCGGTTGATTCTGTGGGGTTCTCTTAACGTGCCAACCTCTACCTGTCTCTACACCGCCTTCGTGACAGTCGTCGATTTCGAGTCCTATGCGTTTTCCCTTGCACTCCCGTCATGTTGATGTGTCTATCAGCCGCATGGCGTGTTGGTGTTGCCTCATGCGGCGCTTGGAGGGACAGGTTTGACTTCAAAAACAGCTTTCAGGAGATCGGCAACGACCTTATCCTGGCTCTTCTTTCCAGCATCCTTGATCTCCTTGATCTTGCCCTCGGCCTCCTTGTTCGCCTCGTCCTCGGCCTGTTTGTTGCCCTGGGTATGCTTCAAATCGTTAGCATACTCACACGCCCTTTGACGAGACTTGCAAAGTCTTACCTCAGACTCAAACTTCTTGAACTCGTCCTCCTTGGAGTTGCGATAAGCTTCAATCTCCTTCTTAGCCTCGTCGCGAGCTTCCTTCACTCGCTTGGTTCGGACTAAAGCATCTCAGGATGAGCAAGCAGGCATTCAGCGCGTCAGTTGGTTATGTACATACACTCGCGGGCTGGCAGTGACATGTTAGCAGAGACATTTGGGGTGTGGGAGCGAGGGGTTTGAATACGACGTACCTTTCTGGACAATCTTGGAAGCCTCCCGCTCAGCCTGTGTTATTGTGATCAGTGGTGCATTCGTGTAGAAGGCTATAGAGAGATGCGCCTACGTCGAGGAGGGTCTGGATACCCGCTGAATTTTGGGCCGACTGCGAGTACATTAGCACGCTGTCCTCCGAAGGAATGACGTCCGCGGCGGCTGTCGCGCTCACCATCGTGTTTGGCTGTTATCAGCTGCAACGTTCAGCTGCAACCAGGGTATGTCGAAGGGTAAGTGAATCGGAGGTACGTGTAGGTGATTGGGCGGAGTAGAGATGTCGGATGAAACAGGTCGTGATAGTTATGTTGCCGAGGACGACGTTGTCGACGCTGGGTGCAGGTCCGGTAGGTCAGAGGAGCAGGAAGGTACGTAGCTTGTACTGCACCGCCACAGCCTGAAGCGCGCCATGTACAGGTACTCACTCACACGGCGTTGCACAGGCATCTGGAAGGTCCTCAGGTGCCCCACATGAGTTACCTCCATGCACTGCCTTGCTTCGATCGAAAAGTCTTATCTTATCAGAGGCCGCAACCAACCGACATCACTTTCGCCAGGTTTGCGGACGAAGGTCAAATCCCGACATAAGGCCACTTTCTCCTGGCATTTGCACCTCGCAGTGCTTTCATTCGCGCAGGAATTTAACTCTGGACTTGGAATCACGGCAATTTACACTCGTTACTCTGCGGATCATGTCTCGGGCCTCTAAGCTCACTCTTGCGGCAACTTCGTTGTTTGCCGCCAGCACCATCATCGTGGTACATTTCCAGCAAAAGTTCGAGAAGGAGGTAGGCTGCCCGTCCCGATGATTCCCAAAACACCCCTAGTGAATCGAGGGCTATCATTACTAAACGTTGCATGCCGTAGGCTATGCACCAAGGCGTTGTGCGCGACATAGAATTACAGCGCGTCAAGAAAGAGCGACAGCTCGATTTCGACATCCAGCGCGCTCTCGAGGAAGAATACAAGCGAGAGCAAACAGTTCGAGATGCCACAGCACCACCCATCGTTGGTGCCGGTGGTGGTGGCAATGGCTCCTGATGATGGAACTTGGAGTCAAAGGATTTGCCAAGAAGAAAGTCGCTATGCAGCCGTGTAACGAAACATTTCGCCCACACCTAATTGTTGAAGCTACATATGGCAAAGGACCAAGGGAAAAGCCACACTGTTTGGTGGCGGGAATACGGGAGCGCATAGAGAGATACCCAGAGGTTTGGCGCATTCATGCATAGAGGTCCTGCTATCGGCTGTGTGGGTTCGGGTGTTCCTCGAACCACTGTCGACACCGCCTAGTTGCAAAGTGAGTTTGTTTGGTATCACAATATGTATTATTTCTCTTTACCTTCCCATCTGCACCAAAAATGCGAAGGGTCCAGGCGGTGACGATATTCTCAACTGCCTATATTTTGTTTCTTTTAATGTCCCGTTTGTAGTACAAATCATTAGTACAAAACCACATGAGGGCTGAATTGCCAGTCTGTCGTCCGCCAAGAATTCGGAACGGGGCCCTCCAATGACACCAACCCATCAAGACGCCGAACGCAACCAACCACTGCGCTTCCCAGCCTGACGAGTCTTCCCACGTTCATCAACATGCCACAGCACCACAGAAGCCCTTGTTTTACCGAATGGACACGCCCGATCTGTTGGTGAACATGCGCGCTGCAATATTCATGGATTGCAGTTCCTGGAAGAGCAGCTTGGCCGCGTAGGGAATATGGATTTGCGCAATCTTGGTCTTGTTCTTGCAGGGTCGGCACTCGAACGACTGCTTCGAGAGGTTTCTATTACCAGTAAGCATCACATCTTAAGCTTTAGTGAGAGAGTAACTTACGCAATGGGTGTCATCAATCCGCAAATCTCGCAGACGTGCACTCGGAAAGCATCAGAAACTTCGAACAATCTTTCCTTAAGGAAAGACGCAGCACCGTGTGCAATCATGCAATCACGCTCCATCTCGCCGAACCGCAGACCACCATCACGAGCACGACCTTCGACTGGCTGTCTCGTCATAATCTGGACTGGACCACGCGCACGAGCGTGAATTTTGTCGTCGACCATGTGACGCAAGCGCTGATAGTAGGTCGGGCCAAAGAAGACTTGAGCACGCAACTTTCTGCCCGTATGGCCCTGGTACATGATCTCAAAGCCTCTTGATTGGTAACCTTGGTCACGAAGAAGTTGTGAGACCGAGTCGACAGTCACGTCCGTGAATGGTGTGGCATCGCCCTCCATGCCTTTCAAGGTTGACACCTTGCTTAGCAGACACTCGATCAAATGAGCAATAGTCATGCGGGAGGGGATAGCGTGGGGGTTGATGATGATGTCGGGGGTGATGCCCTCGGCGGTGAAGGGCATGTCCTCTTGACGATATGTGACACCGATCGTACCCTTCTGACCATGGCGAGACGCAAACTTGTCGCCAATCTGAGGAATCTTGGTAGTCCTGACACGGACCTTGACATAGCGGAGACCATCCTGGTTGGTCGTAATAATGACGGAGTCCACAATGCCGTTCTCTGTACTGCGAAGAGGCGTCGATGCGTCACGCTTGACATGCTGTGTTGTTTTCTGGCCTAATTCCTGGTTGTCAGGATTGATTGGGGACGTCTTGCCGATGATGATGTCCTCTCCAGAAACACGGACACCCGGTGCAACGATACCATCGTCGTCGAGCTTGTCGTAGGTACCGTGCTTCAAACGGAGAGTGTCACTCCTGAACGGCTTCTCAAATTGCTCGACCAAGTTGATACCAACGCGCTTTTCGCAGTCCGTGTAGGATCTGAAGAATAGACTCCTGAACAGGCCACGGTCGATGCTGCTCTGATTCATAATCACGGAATCTTCCTGGTTGTAGCCCGAGTAGCAAGCAATGGCGACGATGGCATTTTGACCGGCAGGAAGCTCTCGGAACTTCAAGAATTCCATAGAGCGGGTCGTGGCGAGCGGCTTCTGAGGATAGTACAGGATGTTTGCCATCGTGTCCATCCTGCGAGAATAGTTTGTCAGGAAAAAGCCCATGGCTTGCTTTCCCATGGCTGATTGATAAGTGTTACGAGGAGACTAGGAAATTGTTAGTGCGTCTACATGTAGCTGCTCAGTCCTGCAACGTACCTGGTTGTGATCAGGGAAGGGAATGATGCTGGCACAGATACCCAGCAGCATACTGGGGTGAATTTCGCAATGCGTGTACATGTGCGTCGTTGGGTTGATCTTTGTCTTCAATCGCCGGTTTCGATCGTCCGCGTTATCTTCTTCGATGACTTGTCCCTGTTTCTGCAGTCTGTATATCTCCAAGTCCTCGGGCGTCATACAGATCATGGCCGTCTCTTCTTCTTCTGCGTCAAGATATTCAATAACTCCGCTATGGGCCAACGTTTCCCAGGTGATCTTGTCGTTTGGATTATCGGGCGGGTTTTCTTGTTGATCACGCATCTCGTTGACTGTTCCTTTCTGCAAAACCAGGGAGCCCTGGGGGACGATACCTGTCGGACTTTGCTCCACGACGAACACCGGTCTCATCACTCTACCAGCATCCGAAAAGATTTTGAACTCCCGATCTCGAATATCACGTACCAGAGAGACCTCATGAGAAATAACGTTTCGTCGACGAGTTCCCTGGACATCCGGTACGAGAATTCTCGGGTCCTGGTGAACTCCCACCCACACTCCGTTGAGGAAAACCTTGGTGGCGTTGGGGTACCTCAGTGGCTCATACTCTTCAAGCACTTCCATGCCTCGTTGAATCATGTAGTCAATGATGGGCTCGGCGGGTGTGCCGACACTGACATAGCACATGAGCGAAAGATTCTTCACGAGACCACAAGCTTGTCCTTCGGGCGTTTCGGCGGGACAAACCAGACCCCAGTGAGTATTGTGGAGTTGTCGAGGCTTTGCAAGCTTGCCATCACGGCCGATGGGAGTGTTCGTACGACGCAAATGAGAGAGGGTAGATGCGAAAGTGTAGCGATTCAACACCTGAGACACACCGGCCGTTGAGCTTGCAGCCTTCTTCTGGTCTCCCCAGTTACCCGTGGCCAAGGAATATTTCAATCCATTGGACAGAGTTTGTGGTTTGACACCGAGCGTCAGGCTGAACTGTCGGTTGGATTCAACACAACGCTTGAGGTGGCCGGAAAGCTCCTGGTTCATGCGGCGAACGATATTGCGGAACAACTTGGCAAGCAGAGGACCAGCAAGATCGAGGCGCTTCTTGCCAAAATGATCGCGGTCGTCAGTGTCGCGTCGCCCAAGAGCGCATTGAAGCAATTTGTGAACCATATAGCCCAAAAAGAAGGCCTTGCGGGTTTCGCTACCCTCGCTTTGGGAGATGTGCGGCAGAGTCTCCTTTTGCAAAATGTCCTTCGCCGTCCTCACACGCTTCTCGCGCGGAATGTTATGGTTACTTCCTCGCTTACCGATGAAGTCGAGAGCAACCTCCCTGTCCTGAATGCAAAAGGCCTCCTCAATGCAGGGTCGCAGCATCTCGAGCATCTGGCTGTCATTTCGATCATAGCAAATATGATTTAGAATATCCTCATCGGACACCACTCCCAGCGCTCGAAAGACAATAGCGATTGGCAGGTCGGACTTGACGTAAGGGAGACTGCAGTGAATGGTCTGACCATATCCGCCCTTCGCAGCGTCTCCCTTGCTGTAAAGCTTCAACATCATGCTCGAAATGAGGCGTGAACCCTTCTCAAGTGCACTGCGAATCTCGGCAGTGTACGAATAGGGACTTGGCTGGGCTTTTTTGAAAACTTGGACGATATTTGCCGCAGATCGCTCTTGGGCAATAAGAACCTTCTCACTGCCGTTGATGATAAAATAGCCACCTTGGTCGTACGGACATTCGTTCAGCATGAAGAGATCGTCCTCCTGCTCGCTACTCAAGTGACAAATCTTCGACTTCACCATAATGGGCATACGCCCGATGAAGATCATGTCCTTCATGTCGTCGGACTTGTTCTTGTCTGCACCGTAGTCCTCTCCACTCTCCTCTTCCTCCCACTCGAGCTTGGTGGGGTGCTCGCCAGTGTTGGCAAGCTCTTCTTGTTGTTCTTCGTCAAGCTCGTTCAGCGGTATGGGCTTCTCAACCGCAATAGATACCTTCTTCGTGATTTTGACGTACAGAGGGCTGGCATAAGTGAGGTTTCGGTCGCGACATTCGTACGGCAG